TTTAGATAAATAATTTACGTTGTTTTTTTTCTGTGTAGATTTCTTATTATATGTTGAATCAGCTTTGTTTTATATACACAATGTTGTATTTAATGATAGGATTTCAATCATTTCACGTTTTAGGATTTTTTCCCACCTGCAATTTGATATTTCACGTAGAATATATATTAGACATAAAACAAACTTCTTGCAAATCTAATGTAAATTTATTGTATTTGCAGTTTAAAGTGACAAACACTGAATCATATTTATAGCGAAGACATTGCAGGAAAACGATTATGTCAGAGAGTTAGAGTGTCCTGAGGTATTAGAGAAAACGGAAGGCTTTGACCGGTAACTATTTTAACCATAGCCAAGAGTTATACAGGACCACGTGATTATCGCTATTTTGACGAATTCCTTAGTATTGTATATAGCTTTAAATCCACCTCTAGTTTATAGATATATTACTTTATATTTTTCTTGAAGTCCTTCTTCTTTTATCTACTATTTTATTATTATTAGTTTCATTCTGAGAAGAAAACATAGATGCTACGCAAAAGTAATAATGTCAATGATAATGATAGTGATAATGACTTCAGTGATGATAATGATAGCAATAATGATAATGATGACAACAATAACAATGATAGTTAGGATAATAATCATAATGCAAAATAGTATTGATAATAATGGTAATGAAGTTGATCATCACATAATAGTAACAATAAAAATAATAATAATGATAATAATTATAATGATAATAATAGTAATAATAATAATGATAATGATAATAATAATAATAATAATAACAATAATAATAATGATAATGATAATAATGATAATAATAATAAGGACGATGATGATGATGATGGTGATAATGATGATAATACTGATAACAATATTGATAATTATAATGATAATAATAATAGTAGTAATATTAAAAAATAATAATGATAGTAATAATAATAATGAAGATGATGATGATAATAAAAATCTAAAGGAAAATAATGATAGTAATGATAATGATAATAATAATGATGACAGACATATCATAATGATAGCGATAGTGATGATGATAATGATAATAGTAATAATGATGATAATAATAATGATAATGAAAATAATGATAATGATAATAATAATAATAATAATAATAATAATAATAATAATAATAATAATAGCAATAATAATAATAATAATAATAATAATAATAATAATAATGATAATAATAATAAGAATGATAATAATGATAATAATAATAATAATAATAATAATAATAATAATAATAATAATAATAATAATAATAATAATAATAATAATGATAATAATAATAATAATAATAATAATAATAATAAGAATGATAATAATAATGACAATGATGATAATACTACTAAAAGTAATAATAATAATAATAATAACAATAATAATAATAATAAAAAATAATGATAATGATAATAATAATGATAATAATAATGATAATAATAATAATAATAATAAATAATAATAATAATAAACTTATTAACAATAATATTATTAATAATAGTGATGATGATAATGATAATAATAATAGTAATAATAATAAAAGTAATGATGCTAATAATGATAATGATAATAATCACAATAACAATAATTATAATAATAGTAAAAATAATAATAGTAAAAATAATAATAATGATAATAATAATGATGATAATAATAATAATATAATAATAATGATAATAATAATAATAATAGTAATAATGATAACAATAATAATATAATAATAATGATAATAATAATAATAATAATAATAATAATAATGATAATAATAATAATAATAATAATAATAATAATAATAATGATAATAATGATAATAATAATAATAACAACAATAATTACAATAATTATGATAACAATAACAATAGTTAAAATAATAATAACAATAATAATAATAAAAGATAATAATGATAATAATTATAACAATAATAACGATAGTATTACTACTACTAATAATAATAATAATGATAATTATAACAATAATAACGATAGTAATACTACTACTACTACTACTACTAATGATAATTATAACAATAATAATAATAGTAATAATAATGAAAATAATGATGATGATGATGATAATAATAAAAATTATGTTAATAATAATGATAATGATAATGATAATAATAATAATGATAATAACACACACACACACACACACATACACACACACACATATACACACATACACACACACACATGTATATATGTATATATATATATATATATATATATATATATATATATATATATATATATATATATATACATATATATATATATATATATATATATATATATATATATATATATATATATATATATATATATATATATATATATGTATATATGTATATATATATATATATATATATATATATATATATATATATATATATATATATATATATGTATATATGTATATATATATATATATATATATATATATATATATATATATATATATATATATATATATATT